TCCCCTCTCCAATCACTCCCTCTCTTCGCTCAGACGTGTGGTCCCTGCCTCACCAGCTTCATGCCATACTGCGACCCTTCACTTGAAAAAGGTTGCGGTCCCCTGCTCTAGACTAACCCTAAGAGCAGCCCAGCTGGTGACCCTGCCTTCGGGGAGGATCACTGAGTGCGTGAGCGGGACAGTTTTTTCAGTCCCAGAGGCAATTAGTTGCCGCCTTCAGTCATCAAGATGGACTATATATGGACTACCTAAGTATACACTCTAAAAAAAGATAGAGCTATAAGGGCGTATTTTTGCCCCACAACAATAATCCTCATCTATCTTGCGTTCCTTTCCTTTTCTTATCGCCGTAAGCCTGGCACTACTTGGTCACCAATGGCATACACGCTGTCAGCGGGACATAGGATGCTTGATAGGAAAGTGACCAGCGCAGTCTTTTCAAGAAAAGAAACGCGAGCAAGCCAGATGACGATTATTGTTATGAGACAAAAAGACACCTTTTTTCCTTGATATTCTTTCAGATTGCAGTATATGCAAGTGACATGTCGCCTTGGATAACAACAAAAAAGTGCGCGCGCAACTGCCCTACAGCTGTGGCATGTGCGCGGGACTTGCATTGAATACAAGCTGGCAGTGACTTGTATGTCTGAGCTACGATTGTTAACTTGTTCTTTCCTGTAGTTGATTCAATGATTTCACTGAGTCAGTGATTACGCCACGGCGCTCAAGACGCTAGCAGCAGAATGCAACTTTGGGACAAGCAGACACTACGGCAGACATTACACAACGTAATGCTGTCCGATCGTTTCGTTCGCGGTCTTCAGAATGAGCAGGTTCAGCAACGGCTGTTTGCAGAAAAGGATTTGACAGTCAAGAAAGTTCTCAATTGTCAAGTTCTTGGATTTTGAAGTCGACTCGAGTGCAGCCTGCACACTCCTCAGTGAGACCATGTTCAACGCCACATGAACAGATGACACACCACAGCTTCAGACTGACAACATTCTCTAACGCATATGGTCAGGACAGTGTCTTCGAGTTCTCGGGATGCTGGCCTTCTAGGACAGATTCTTGAAGAACAGGGCAACAGTTGCCAGCTGTCTCTACCAGCTCCTTCAGAAGGACGTCACGTGGAGATGGGAGCATTTGACAAGCTTAAGACAATTGCTTCTCAATCAGAATGTACTGGCACACTAGGATGAACAGAAGGAGCTTCTTGTCTAGTGTGACGCTTCACCATACGGCATAGGAGCTGTTCTGTCTCAATGCGACGACCAGAATAGAGAGGCACCAATCTTTTTTGCATCTCGGACTCTAGGGCCGGCCGAACGCAATTGCGCTCAGTTGTATAGAGAAGGCCTTGCCGTGGTGTTTGCAGCCCACAAGTATATTCAGGGTAGAAAAGTGACTTTCGCCATTGACCATCAACCACTGCTCGGCATACTAGAGTCTACAAAAGCCAACGGCTCAAGTCCTTTCTCCACGAATGACCAGATAGTGCATCAAGTTATCGGCGTATGACTACAGCATCATCTACAGGCATGGCAAGAACCACCAGAACACCGATGCATTAAGCCGATTGCCATTACAATCACAGGTCTTTTTAAGAAATGAAACGCAAGCAAGCCGGATGACGATTATTGTTGTGGGACAAAGACCCTTTTTACTCTATATCTTTTTACATTGCAGTATATGCAAGTATAGTGATCAACTCAACATTGTGATGTTAGCACTAAAAAGCACATGCTCTTACTCTTAAATATTTTCATCTATTTAGTGCTAAAATCAAGATAAGTTCCCACCAACTCTTCCAAAAACAAGTTCTTACATAGTGGTCAAGTTTGTAGTGTTAGTTAAACATGCTAACGAGCTGTAGCTAAAGTACGCTCAAAGCTGCTGCTTTCAATAACCTTTTTGAGCCTGATGAAAGGAAGGCAATCTCTGTAAGCTCAATTACATGGCAAAGCTTCTACAAAGCCCTTGTTGTCATAGAAATATGGAGCTCACGAACGAAACTTTCTCGAAGCCCACATTACAGCATCGAAGTAAAGCTCTTCAACAAACACTCTCCAAAAAAAGAAGTAATATTTTTTATTTTTTTTATTTAAAAATACTGCCAATCCCTTGTCGGGATTTTTGCAGAAAGGACATCGGGAAAACACACAATAAAAGCACACAATAAAAACATCCGTAAGTTATGCATCGTTTAGGATACGCGTTACATTGATGCTACCAAGTTCTCACAATTTCTAACAATCAAATTCAAACAAATTCTAACCAATTTCTAACAACAAAGTTCTAACAGTAATTGTATTATATCCAAATCATTACAGTGTGGAAGAGTCAAAATAACACAGTCAAAAACAATGGATTTTGCAAAGATGACCACAATAGCGCAATATTAGGGTTCCAAACGCAAATGTTCTTCAACAAGACGTGAAAAAATATTTAAAGAATTGCTGCTAGTAATCATGGCTGCTAAGCTGTTCCATTCCCTTATTGATGCTGGGAAGAATGAGTGTTTGAAACATTCCGTACGGAATGCGTATTCTTGTAGCATTTCGGGGTGCTTCTTACGAGTGGGTCGTGATTGTTGAAGTGTAATGTACCTGGAGGCATCGATGTTGGTTTGCTTATGGCGTAGCTGGTACATGAATCGTAGGCGTGCTAGTCTTGCTCGTTTTTGCAGCGTTAGCATGCCCGCTTCTTCGAGCATTTCAGTTGGTGAGTCTGTTTGCCTAAACTTGTTAAAGATAAATCGAACAGCTTTTCTTTGCACGCCTTCTAGCTTCGCAATATGTTTTTTTGTGTACGGGAACCAAACAATGTTCGCATATTCAAGAACAGATCTCACGTACGTGTTGTAGGCTAACAGTTTAATTTCAGAAGGTGCTAGTCGAAGGCTTCGTCTCAGAAAAAAAAGTCGTTTCAGTGCGGTAGCTGTAACGTTAGAAACGTGGGCATCCCATCTCAGATCGCTAGTAAAGGTGAGGCCAAGGTACTTATGATGACTTGTTCTAGGAAGTGGGATACTATTGATGATATATGAGAACTCTGACCATTCCCTTTTTCTTGTTATTGTCATTATAGCTGATTTTTTAACATTAAGTATCATTTGCCAATCTGAACACCAGTTTGATACTATTTCGAGGGCTTTGTTTAAGGCAAGATGATCTGCAGAGTTTATTTCATGATAAATTATACAATCATCCGCGAAAAGTCTGACGTGGACGGGAATTTGACAGGGTAGGTCATTGATAAAAATTAGGAATAAGGTCGGAGCAAGAACACAACCCTGGGGAACACCGGATTTGACGGGAACTGTTGTGGATACTTGTCCATTGAAATCAACAAATTGTGTGCGACTGGTAAGATAGTTTTTTATCCATTTCGTAACGGAGCCATTGCCTAAGGTACATTCTAACTTTTGTACTAGTTTTTTATGCGAAACCTTATCAAAGGCTTTTGCAAAGTCCAATAGGATAAGGTCGACCTGTTTTTGGTTGTCCACACTTAAGGATAAATCATGGGTTAGTTCTGTTAGTTGCGTGACTGTAGAAAGCCCCCTACGGAAACCGTGTTGAGAAGGCGACAGGATGCGTTCGTTTTCAAGATATATATTGATATGTTTTAAGATAATATGTTCAAGAAGTTTGCTGCAAGTGCAAGTAAGAGATATAGGCCTGAAGTTATTTACGTCATCTTTTGGGCCTGATTTGTGTATCGGTTTAACTTTCGCTTTTTTCCAATCATCCGGTATGGTGCAAGTTGCTAGGGATTTATCGAATATGATGCACAGATATTTTGCCATCCACTCCGCATATCGGTTGAGAAACAAATTTGGAATGTTATCTGGTCCTGAGGCTTTTTTTGTGTCAAGTTGGAGGAGCAGATGAAAGATACCTTGTTCGGTTATCACGGGCAGTTCCAATGGTTCTTTGTTCAAAATGTCGATTGGTGGTTCATTGCCGTCATCGGCCGTGAAAACTGATTGGAAGTGCTCATTGAGCGAAGAAGGGGTAATAAGGCCATCTTGAGGATGACTAGCGTTTTCGCTAGACTTTGAATTTTTAAGAAAGCCCTAAAATTTTTGCGGCGAGCTTTTGATGAAACTAGGAAGGGTGTTAGTGAAATAGTTCTTTTTTGCGGTTCTTATTTTTAATTTCATGTCGGGGATGGCAGTTGTGAGAGCAGTCTTAGAATTGCTTTTACTTAGTTTTAGGGATTTCCTGAGACTTTTAACTTTGCGTTTCGCGTGAATGATATCACAATTAATCCAGGGATTATATTTCTTTGATCTTTTTGTTTTGTTTGGTACATATAATTTCATACAGTGCGTTATGGTATGTTTAAATTTTAACCACAATTCATCGACACTTATGAATGCGCGTTTCGAATCTTCTTCAAACGGTGCTAATTCCATTGATAGATGGTCAATTAGATGGTCAATATGAAGGCAATTCTGGTAAAACGGAAGCTCAGTCTACTTTCAGATGTCCACGAAATGCTTGAAAGCCAATACTTCTGATGCCCAGTTTGACCACCTTGTATATATTAAGCTGCCACAGGTGGTGGGCTTTCACATACAACTGGTAAAAACTGCTTTGTGTATGTAACCCAAGAGCAGTGCCGTATAAGTAAAAACGTGTGAATAAAACCATCTGCACTAAACTATCCACAGACTGATACATGCTGCACTGTTAAATGGAACGTCTCAAACAAAGGTGAAAACCAGCTAACATTATGGATATTGCCAGCAGTCTTGAATTCGTTGCAAAAGACTTCTCTGCTGAGCCAATCATTATATGACTACTGACCTACCTTCGTTTTGGAGACTGAAGACATGAATTCATTTGAACAAAAGTAAAATTAACTACCTTAGTTATGCGATTTGCGCTAGAATGCTTTGGTTTCCCGTGCAACTCAAATAGCACAAACTGGCTCTCCCAACAGCAGACGCGCATAGATGAGACTCTAGATAAGAGCATGTCTAATGTTGTTACCATTGTCGTCTTCTGGGTTTGATGTGCTTTGTACCAGTACCTTCATTTCGTTATTAGATGCGGAGCATCTTATACTCGCGCCTTGTAGTGCGCCGTCCGCACCGCTTCTCGAACATTCGACAGCTGACGCGCGCGCATGCGCCGTCGCGCCGTCGCCCACTCTTCCACCATCTGTGCATCCCTTCCTCCTCTACACACCGCGCGCGCTTCACTCCTCCACCATCTGTGCACCCTTCCTCCTCTACACACCGCGTTCGACATCTACAATTCTCCTGATTCTCCAGTGGACGCGCATGTGGCGTCGCGCTTCGAGAACATTCAACAGCTGACAGTGCATGCGCCGTCGTGCTGTATATATACTCAAGGTTGGCGCTCGCTCGCTCAGTTGCCGCTCGTCGGTTGGTTTGTACGGCGCGTCGACGTCCAAGGTCGCGGTGAAATGAATTCCAACGAATCCACAAACACAATGATCGACGTCCCTTCGACCAGCGCCGCCCTTTCGCATACGTGTGTACGTGTTCACTTATTTAACACCCCCTCCTACAACCACGTTAACCAATTTAGCCATCGACCCAAGTAAGTCGCAATTTAACACCCCATTTCACAACCACGGTAACCAATTTAGCCATCGACCCAAGTAAGTCGCACTTTAACACCCCGTTAACCAATTATATGGTCCGCATCCTCCTCAGTGTTCCCCCGAGGGAAGCTGCGAGCAATTTTTTTATATTCCGCTTTATTCGGGTCTGTTAACGGCAAGGTTCCTTTTGGCGTTAAATTAGTGGTTGCCAGATTGGGAAGGTCAGTGTTGCCAGACTGCCACTAAATTTGACTGCAAATTTTTTTGTCTTGTAGTTGTGGCTTCTCCGTGAAAATTTCGTGATATCCGCGGTGCATTTCGCGAACAAGTGTCGCTGGCCGTTTTAATTAACGGAATGAACCGCGCCTAGCAGAAGTCGAGCGCGGCGCTGCCAAGCAATTAAGAGGCCGTTTTAATTAACGGAATGAACCGCGCATTAAAGAATTCGTCACACCCTTTCTCTCTTTCATTTTAAAATGTTCTCGGTCGCTAGCGTCACTTGTGGCGGACGGTGCAACAACGCACTACTTTGCATAGCCTCCGAAACAGTGATGCACAGTTGCAGGTCTCAAACAACTCTCGACTGACGCGCCCCTATGGGTCGCAGATGAAAAACGCTTAGCTGGTACATAGCCTCCTATATTTTTTTGTGCCCGCGCATTAGCGCTAAATACATACGCGCCATCCGTCCCTTATAGTTTTGGCGCTCGCCGCCAGATGCCGCACCGATCCCATAATAACAGCAGACGACGCGGCCTATGCACGCTTGCGTTTATGACGGTCTAGAAACCGTCTACATTGCATTGGATTATGCGTATACGTTAAGAAGTGCGCACACACCAAATTTTTAACACAAGCACTGTATGCAGAATGCAATGTGAGCTTTGTTATTTGATTTCGCGCTCAAAGCTTGAGCACTTTTCGAGACAATGGTTTGACATGAAAATCTTTTGCCAAGTCGTGTTTGTCAGTCACACTCGTCGCGAAGTTCAGAAAAAGTGGGCGGAGAAACTTCACGAGCACAACCTCCAAAAGTTTTTTTATGATGTCCCGGGGTCGAGCACTTGAGTTTGTCACGTTTCTGTAGTATTTGCGCGGCGTTGTCAACGGCAGCCTTCAGTGGCTGATTCATCTTTCTCGCTCTTGCGAGGAAAACTTCCGCGTAATTCTTTAGAGAATTTAGAACCATTACGAGCTCAGTTGACGGATACAGGAGTACACCTGGGTGGATATCTCCACATTCAATCAGAACATGCTCCGCCGTTTCCTTATCTTTCCCGCAGCATGTGCATTGTTCTTCTTCTTTACTGAATCTTGCTTTATAACTACGCGTTCTAAGGCAACCCGATCTCGCTTCAAACAGTAAAGCGCTTCCCCTTGAATTATCGTAAAATGCCTCCCTCCTTATTTCATTTTTGCCCTTTCGGTAGTTACTCAAAGCCGGTTTTTTCTCCATAGCTGCCATCCATTCTCTCGTTTTGCGCCTCGGCGCTCCGCCAGGAGCGCTCGCATCCCATAACAGCTCGGGGGACGGCGCTGAGGGACCGACCGCTCGGGCACAAAGTTATAGAGGAGGCTATGGCTGGTAGCCTGGTACCGCCCGTCGCTGTGATGATGGATGGATGGATGAATAAATATGGCTGTACACTTCAGATTGAGCGGTGGCTAGCGCCACGTACCCGTAATACCTAATGAACCAAAAACTATATTTTTTTTTCCCCCTTAGAAAGTGAGTTTGAAGATTCGTACTTTGCAGTGAAGAGTTTAATTTTCACTCGTGCCTTGACTTTAGCCACCAATCAGATAACCTCCTTCTAGTTAAGTCTACCCGCTTAAAGTTTATTTTGCCCTCCCGGTCCCAAAACCCCAGTGCTTTGAAAAACTCTGCGCCATCATCCTGAACTATAGGGTGAAGCCCTTTACAGAACATTATCAAGTGTTCAGCAGTTTCTTCTTCCTCTCCACACGCACTGCATACTGTGTCTACCTCTTCGTATTTGGCCCGATATGTCTTGGTTCGCAGTACTCCCGTCCTGGCCTCAAACAGTAGAGAACTACCCCGAGTATTATCATATATCCTTTCCCTGGCAATTTCCTGCTTAAAAGTTCGATAGATCTCTAGTGCGGACTTCTTAATCATGCCCATTCTCCACATGTCAGTCCTCATTTCCTTCACTTTCTTCTTAACCGATAGTTCTTTTTGGTTTGGCCACCTGCTGTTTTCTAAGTATTTACCAGTCAACTTCCTGGTTCGCTTCCTCCATTTTGTATCGACATTCTTCATGTACAAGTAGCTGAAAACCTCCCTAGCCCAACGCTCTTCCCCCAATTTCTCTCAATCGCTTGGAGGTGAGAAGAGACGCTCGGAGCAGTAGGACGCACTGTACATCGTCTCCCGAGCCTTTCGGCATTTTCGCTGCGACGCGTGCTTACTGACCAATAATTTATGTATGAGTGGGTGCATGAGGTTATTGGGAACGCGCGGATATCACTCTCTGCACTGGATTTATCAAGATTCTCCCAGGAGCATCTGCTGACCCGACCAACGCCGCTCGCCGCCCTGAGCCTAGCTGGCTCAGCGCGCGTCCGGCTCCTTGCCTAAGCCTGGTGCAGCGTCTCACGCTACTCACATCGTCGTGCCCAGCCGCCCACCGGAATGGAGTGCGTCGTAGAAGGTCATACCATCTCTGAAGAGGAGTGGTCCGACGATTCCTGGCAATCGCCCGGCTATCGTGCCCAGGAACGACGCCGACGGGAACTTCAAAACCAAGGCAAGCCCGTTCTTCAACCGTGTACGTCGGAGAATGCCCGCGCCGCTGTGCCGGAACGCCAACCCCAGGTCAAGTCACGTCCGCCTCGGTTACGTCGGCGGGCACCACTCCCCCGATTGCCGCAAGACTCCATTCATATAGTAGGACGTCCAAGAACGCCCATCGACTTGACGAAAGTGCCGCCGTGGCAATTGCACGACGCCCTGCTCAAGGCAGCTTCACTGCCAGATCAGCCACCAGCAAGTCGGGATCGCCTTCGGACGCACCCCACCAATAATACCTTTACCTTGAGCGTGATCGACTCGCAACGCGCCCAAGCCTACCTTCGAGTGAAGTCGATTACCATCGGCGCTGCTACTATCGAGCTCCATGTCTACGCCCCCCCTCCAGACGACGCCATACGAGGCATCATGTTCCATGCATACGATGACTTCTCAGACGAAGAGATTTTGGCAGACCTACAAGCCAGCAACCCCACCATTCCTATCGTGAGTGGAAGACGCTTGGGCCAAACTAGGCACGTCGTGGTTGCACTAATGACGCCAAACCTTCCAAAGTGGATATTCTACCACGGAACCGACATCAGGTTGTACCCGTTCTACAACAGGGTGGAATCGTGTTTTAACTGCCGCAAGGTTGGTCACCGCACGGATGTTTGCCCGATGCCACGTAAGCAGCGGTGCCGCCGTTGCGGAGAGGAACACCCCACACCAGGACAGGGCGAAACACCCGCATGCACGCCACGCTGCATCGTCTGCAATGGTGCACACAACACCGGCAGCTCAAACTGCAAGTATCGCTTTATCAAGAAGGCGCCACCCACCCCGCAATCGAAGCAAGAAGCGCAAGAACCTTCGTCGAACATCCATCGCAACCCATCTCACAGTGGCTCCTCCAGCAGACGCTCCCCATCATCTCGAGACCATTCTGCATCTCTCCCACCACTCGGGAACAGCAGCAACCAGCAGCAGCGCCGAGAGAGCAGGTCCCCATCCCACACCCAGCGCTCAGGGTCTCGTTCAGCTAAACGACGTGGCAGCAGGTGTCGATCCCACAGCAGGCGTCCGAGGTCACGCTCAGCCCAACGACGAGACAGCAGGCCCTCATCTCACTCAAGGTCCAAATCAGCCAGGCGCAGCCCATCGGTGTCTCGTTCATCCAGTCGAGGTCCCGGAGAAGCGTCCAAGTCGGTGGCCTGGCAGCGGGGCGCCCCGGCATCACTACTATTTTCCGATTCACAGGTGAGGGAGTTGGCAAAGGAGAATTCTGCCCTTAAGGCTCAAATCTCGGCCCAGCAGTCCCAGATAGCTAAATTGACTAGCTACATCCAGTCTCTAGAAGCCAAAATAGATAGAGCACTCAGTATCGACAAACAAACTACACCCACATCATCCGAAACACAAGACGCACATCCGAACCCCCTGGCACCAAACCCGGCGTTATCGCCAGTTCCTCAACTTCAGAACGCTAATAAACGCAAGGCAGCTACACCCACAGCTTCACTCCACGCAGACGCCGACATCACTACAAAAGTAACGACGGCAGTCACGGCAGCCATCTCAACGCTGAAATCCGATCTGAACGCTGAAATAGAAACGCGCTTTAATGCGATCCACCAAACCATCCGGGAAACAACCACCTCATTCGCCGTGTTAAAGAGCTCGACCGAAGCTGCACTGGCCGACTTCAGTGTGCAGTTGGCCA